GTGTAATTTTCCTCAGCCTCAGCTTGAGCTTGCATATGAGTAGCTTGTGGTCTGTTCCACAATCAGCTCCTGGCCTTGTTTTCACAGCTGATATTGAGCTTCTCCAGTGGTTTTTTCCACAGATATAATCGATCTGATTCCTGTGCATACCATCAGGTGAAATCCATGTATATAACCTGTGTTTATGCTTCTTTTAAAACATATTTGCAATGAATAGGTCATTGATTGTGCAAAATTAAATCATTCTATCTCCAGCTTCATTTCTCTCACCAAGTCCATGTTTCCCAACTACTGAGTCTCCTTCTCGGTTCCCAACTTTTGCATTCCAGTCACCCATTATTATCAAAGCATCTTGATTGCATGTTCGATTGATCTCCAACTGTAAAAGTTGTTAGAAATCATCTATTTCTTCTTCTTTGGCTCTGGTTGTTGGTGCATATATCTGAATGATAGTAGTAGTATTCACTGGACTTTTTGTACACGTATGGATATTAATCTGTCACTCACGATGTTGTACTTCAAGACAGATCTAGAAATTATTTTTTTAACTATGAAAGCAACTCCATTTTTCCTCGCCTTTTCATCTCCGGAGTAATATAGCATATGGTCGTCTGACTCAAAATGCCCCATGCCGGTCCATCTCATCTCTCCAATGTCTAGTACGTCTATATTTATGTGTTCTATTTCTTTCTTAACAATGTCTAATTTTCCTACATTCATGGTTCTCACATTCCATGTTCCAATCACTAGTGTCTGCTTACAACTGTTCCTCTTCCTTTGTATTTCCATACCTGAAAGCTCAGCCTCAGTTGCCCTTTCTGTTCGTCTATGTGTGTTGCGTTATACATAGGGTTTTCAGAGGCCTGCTATTTCAGAAGTGGATGGCCAATCCTTCTTCCTAGTCTGTCTTAATATGAATGTTCTGATTTAGGAGTATCTGACAGACAAGCAATTTATAGAACAGTGAATGATAAATCCCTCATTGTGGAGTTAACCATTAGTTACAGTGTTGTCCCTGCCCTTGGCCCAGTGCCTTGACCCACTTATTTCCCATCTCCACCCTCCACCAGGATACCCCTTCACTTCTACCGAATCCCTTCAGCATTTATCATTCCTTGTCCAACCCTTAATCTGACAGCTTGTATCTGAAGTTTTCTTGGCTTCAGTGATTCCAAATATGTGAGCTGCTGACAATTTCTTATGCTGTGAACAGTGTCTCTTAAGTTTGGTGGTAATGTATAAAATTATATATATTTTATATATATATGTATATATGTGACTATAAATTCTGTAGGGAGCTATGGTGGTATAATCTTCAGTGAGTTGTGTTGTTTACTTCAAGGTTCATTTTTTGTTTGGATTATTTTTTGAGTTGTTGAATTTTTCAATGTTTAGAGACTGTACCTTTATCAGGTATGTTGTTGCTAAAGATTGTTTTCGAGTCTTCTCTTTAAAGAGTCTTTTTGAGTCAGGTTCTCCTTGTTTTTAACTTTTGGAAAGGTTTTTTGATAAACATAAGTTAATTTTTAGTGGATCCTAATTATCTAGGTTATTTTCTGTTACTTGTACATTTTTAGTTGCAGTTGATAATTATTTATCTGAATTACTATGCTGTTCCATAATTTATTATACTTCTTCCCCTCAGTTTTTTTGCTCCCATCTATGTCTTTGTGTAGTATAACTTGCTGGAAAATCTCTCAGAAACTCAAAAACCATCTGAAAAGTGGCTCACAAAGTTATGGATGATAGAGGCCAGTGCACATGGCTGTTGGCATTCAGCTCTTGCATCCTGGAGCTGCTGGATAAGGTTAGATTCAGTGTCCAGAGTACACAGGGATCTAGCTTTCTGAGAGCATTCCTCTATATAAATCATACCCCCAAGAGAACTAGGGGTTGAGACATCGTATCTTTTAGTAGGGTGGGGATTCAAGGTACATCCTACCTTAATACTTTCTCATTTACAAACTTGTTCTCAAGTGATGTTTTAAGCACACATTTTATCTCTTTAGGCTAGAATTTACAATATGTAACAAAGGAAGGCTTTGATTAGAAGGGCCATATTCTTTAATTCATTGTGCCACAGAGCCCTCCCACTTAATTCTTCTTCAGAACGCTTTGACTGTTTGGGACCTCTTTCCTTCGCATGTAAAGTTGACAGCTTTCCCATTTCATTAATGGATACTACTTGAATTTGGGTAGGAATTACATTTTATCTATAGATTTCTTTGGGTAGTATTGACATTTCCACAATGTTGCAGCTTCTGATTCATGATTTGGAATACTTTTCAATTTATGTAGATTCTTTTTATTTCTTGTAGTAGTGTATAATAGCTTTCCTTGTGCACTATGTCTTTTATATTCCTAGGTATATTTATTTTTAGGTATTTTAACCTTTTTGGGCTATTATATATAGTATTGTTTTCTTTTTCCCTTTAATTTTTTTTTTTCACATCTGACTGGTAATGTGCTGACATCATAACAAGGTTTAAGGTTGGCTCATGTTATACAAAAGGCTTAAACACCCAGACATCGTGCTCATTAACCAGAAAAGGATCCTTTAAACTTTTTATTGTGATTTTAATGAAAGTTTACAGAAGTTGGCTTTTCAGTCATTCATTTTTATACATTTTCATCCCAACCCCTCAGTTCACTTTATTTTTAAAAATTTATTCATTATTGCACATTTCCTCCTTCCCTCCCTCTCGTCTACCTCTCAGTGCCTCCCTTGTTCCAAACTCTTCTCATACATAAAATGTATAATATTCCTTTCAGACAGTTCTTCACCTCGTCTCTTCCAATTAAGTGTTTATTATCTGTCCCCCCTTCTCCATTTCCTCTCCAATCGCCCCATGTCTGCCCTGTTTTAGAACA